CTACAACAATAATGTGTACTGCTCGAACCTAGCTAAACCATTAATTAAACTCATGCTGTAAACAACTTGTGCGATTGAAGCAAGTGATTCAAGAAAAACTGCCAGAATTGATCAATTAGAAAAGATGCCTTCCATCACAACCTTAAACCAGACACATTTTTAATGACTCGGCAAAGATTGAGAAACTGAGAGGCTGATAAGTTCGGAAAATGTTCTTCCCATCATCAGAAACCTATATTTTGTTCAGTTGCTGGTTCATCAGTACAATTCAAGGATTAAAATTATTGATACATGTTTACATATTTTTTCCTGCTTCACTGCACTTTTTGGTTAGTATAATTTACCATTTTTTCTATGCTGCTGTTTTCAATACTCAAAAGTTGTTTATTCATTTTCTTATTAAATCAAATAATCCTAAATGACAACACTATTTAGAGAAAAGTAAGAAACAGTCCCAGAAGAATACTCATAAACTAAATTAACAATTATGTACAAAAATATTCAAAATAGTATCCAATTCCACACTGCCAAGAATACATAGCCACATAAAATTAATAATAACCTTGCCCGCAAGCACTTTCAATCCGGCACCTTTCTTTGATCACATTGTAAAATTTTAAAAACTATTAAAAATATGAAATTTAACAAATTACTCAAACACGAGATTACTACAACATTTACTGCATGAATTTTTTCTTTTAGAAAGCTCATTTCACTGCTGAAGTATCATTTATAGAACAAAATTTTATTTTTCATCACAAGACATTGCCTGCGGGACTTGTGTGGAGGTCTCAATGCGGCCCTTGAAACTTAGTCAAGGTCTCAATGTAGCCCGTGGGACAAAAAGTTTGGAGACCTCTGCCATAGGTAAATACCTGAAAATCTTAGACGAAATAAAAACTGAAATGAATAAATTAATCTAGAATGAGTCAGTATATGCAAAATCTACATAGGTATCTACTATAAACATTTCTTACAACATAGGTTGAAGCGTAGGAAATCATATACCCCTTATATCACCCCAAAACAGAGTCACTTCTTAAAAAAGAACTACGATAAATTATTTCTATACCATTCAAATATATCATTTGAATTAATCTGCCAATACCGTTATTTAGTACAAATCACAATCCAAAGCACTATTCCCAACCACTGCTTAGATATTTATTAAACGAACAATCATTAATTGTAATATTAATTAAAGAATATAATAAATATTGATTTACATTACCAATTTTTCACTTCTTTTTTTTTTAAACTCCATTATTTATTTTTGGGCATTATTAATCAACTCCCAAAAAGGATAGAGGATAAGGGAATGGCAATACAATCCTGCCAGATTACCTCCTCATATTGATGTTGGATCATGTGCAAAATTTGTCCAGAAAGTTTATAATGAAGTGAAAGTAAAAATTTGTTTTATATTTAATCAGGTAATTCAAAACTATCCAATTCAACATATTCCCCTGAAAACAATACACCAGTGTCACCTCGTCACACCACCAAAATGCTGCTCCCAAAGCACAATCATGCATTTGAGAAAAAAGAAAAAGTCATATCATGCCAAATCAGGTTTATTATGGGAATGTTTCATCACTTTTTTATCATCACTGTTATCAAATTCAAGACAAAACTCATGTCAAACTAGCAAAGTGTATCGTGATGAAATATCCACTACCCTCTTTCCCCTCGGATCAAGCCAAACCACAAAACAAGCAAGTTTTGAGAAGTTTCCATAAACAGTCTGACCAGAAAGGACAAATTCTTGGTAGAAAATTACTCAAAAATCTCAAAAACCAATCAGTATTGTCCTTATATTTGACTTTGAGTTCCTTGTCTTTCTTGACCTTAGCTCCACACCCTATTTCCATTTTTCTTTTGGATTTGAGTTCCATATCAAATTTTTACTTTCACTTACGTATATATGTAATATATAGTATTGCGATCGTGAAAATTTTCGAACCTCAGTTTTCAACGGAAATACGTGTTTTGAGGTCCTCTGAGTCCAAATAACCAAGTGTAGCAAAATGGTCTCTGTGTGTATGTGTGTGTGTGTGTGTGTGTGTGTGTGTGTGTGTGTGTGTGTGTGTGTGTGTGTGTGTGTGTGTGTTAACAGTCTAGCTTATAAATAAAAAGTAGTACGAAACTGATATAAAGTATTTAAGGTTTGTATATGGGCCGGATGTGACAGCAACTTTTTTGTTAAAATCGGCTGACCGGAAGTGCCACTTTATATGAATGCTGAAACACATTTTTACAATTTTCTCAAAAACGGCTCTAACGATTTTGATTAAACTCAGTGTATCATTTTATAATTAAGTGGTCTTTAATATCATTTAAGTCTTATCCCTGTTGATGTCACTTTACAGGGCTTAAATGCCCAATGTTCATATATGTCTTCCTCTAAAGTACCTTTAATATGGTTTCTTTTAAAAAGTTAATCATTTCGCATTGTTCAGGGTTATAAAAAAATGATACATATAACTTTTGAAAGAATTTGATATGTTGATAAAGGAGAAAAAAAAATAAAAATGCAGAAAACCTGCGTTGCTATAGACTGTAGCGCCTAAACGAATGTATCGATTTCAATTAAACTTCGCTAAAGTCATTTTCTCGACAACCTTTAAATTTATCTATATAACATACTTCAACGAAAAGAAGCTGGAAAAAAAGTTATGAGGGTTGGTAAAATTAAATTCCGAATAACTCAAAAAGTATACACTTTTATGTTGATATTGTATATCAGTTTATGGAATTTCCTAAAATAACAAAAAAAAAATCGTTAAAAATCGGACAATTAGGAGGAAAGATATGGCCTCTAGTTTTTTTCCCTGAAGAGGCGAAAATTTGGATAAATTTAAAATATACTTTTTTAATTGTTGAGACTAAAAAAACCTTTTTTATACAGATATTTTGTAATTTTGTTTAAATAGACATTTTGTAATTATAATGGTCTTAATGACTTGTTATCTGTAAGCTTTAAGCTTTAGCTCCGTTTAAAATGCACTTCAAAAATTTTTATAATAGCCTAACATTGCCAGAAAATAATTTCTATTCAAAGTAGATCGGTAAGTAAAAGTTGTGTGTTGTGCGCACCAGATTTTTTAAACTAAGACTCATCTTATAGAATGACCCTGAGAGAATATCACCAACCTCTTCAGCTACCAACCAGTTCTAGTATCATGGCACTAGGAGGCAGCTGAAGAATTTCAAAACAACGGACTTCATTGGAAGATTCCAGCTGTGAAAATGGATATCGTAGAAGTGCACTATTTTTCAGGATGATTATTTTGAAGGAGAGATTATTGAATCACCTCATAATAGAAGGAAAGATTTTTTTTTTTTTCATTTTTATAACTTTCCTTTTTTGAAATTGATATACAGCTAGTGAACAACAAAGTTGTACTCTTATCGAATGGATTCTTCTAAATCCGCATTGGTAGTCACCGATAATTTCTTCGGCATATTCCGTGATTCGACTAGTTAAGATTAAAGTGGATTTTATAACATACCAGGAGTGAAATTCCTTGATAATTATTACAATCCGTCCTCGGGCCCTTTTGATGAATCGGAATAAGAATAGAATCTTTCCATTCTTCAGGTAATTTCTCATTCTCCAAAATTTTTTTAACCAACAAATGTATTTTAGAAACTCCAGCTTCCCCGCATGCCTTAACTAGTTCACTAAGAATATTATCGGTTTCCGCTGCTTTATAAGATTTTAATTTTCCGATAGCTACTTCAACTTCCTCTTCACTCGGTTCTTCTATTAACGGTTCAGCACTCTGGTACTCAAAAGGAGGACACAGATTATAATTTATTGTATTTAAAATATTGTCAAAATAGTTCTTAAACTTATTTAATATGTTTACTGGATCGGTCAGAATATTGTTATTTCCATCCCTAATTCCAGAAGTGACGAGACCTAAATATTTACGTGATCTGTTTATACCTATGTACATTTCTCTTACGTTATTTTTTTCGATTATATTAGTTTCTATTTCTATTATTTTATTTTTTAAATACTCCAGTTTTTTATTTTTGAGCAATTTTGTCATTTCACTCTTTGAGGTTCGGAAGTATTCTAGATTGTCTTCGCTAGGATTATTTAGAGCTTTTAATATAGCAGCTTTTCTTTTTTCGCACATGTTTAAGCAATCTTCATCAAACCACTGTTTGTTATTCATATTTTCCCTAGACACAAGTTACCGACCGCTTTAATATTATTCCTCAACATGTCCCATAACATGTCAATATCCTCACGGTCCTCGTCAGAAGGTTCTAAAGCTTCAAAAATATTCTTAACATCTAGCTTGAATTGAGTTCTAATTGGTGAATTTTTCAATTTTTCCAAATTTAAATTCTTGAAATCAAACAGTTTTCTTTTCTCTTTTTTGTATTAAGTTTTTGTCGAAGTTTCGCAATTACTAATTCATGATTCGACCCGCATTCTGCTCCGTGATAAGACCGTACATTAATTATACTGCTTTGCAAGCTATGTTGTATCAAGACATGATCGATTTGATTTTGTGTTTGCGAATCCGGTGATGTCCAGATATATTTATGAATATCCTTATGTTTAAATGGAGCATTTTTAATTATCAGGTTTTTCGAATTGTTGGGCTTAGAAATGAAATAATTCTTAAAAGGTTAATATTTGCTGTACCGAATGGTAAACGTCCGAGGGGTAGACCGAACCAAAGATTGGGTTAAAGCCAATCTGAAGGGACTGGGTTTGGACGACGAACGGTGGAGGGAAGTGTGTAATAAGCGATTGATGGTGTCGGCTTCGAACCTTCGGATTCGCTAAGCCTTTTATTATTATCATTATAATAATTTTACGGACCAAATTTGTACACAGTATTATGTGCAAGAAACATAACATAAAAGAGTGAAAGTTTTGAAGAGCAATAGTATATTTTAACAGATGACCCTAATGTGTGATAAATAAAACAAAAGGTTCAAGCCAGAAAGTAAATCATTATGTTTAACTACTCAACCTTTTGATTTCATAGGAGGAGGTGGTCTCTTTAGTGCTCTGATTCTGAAAAGTGGCCTGAAGAATGCCTCCTTCTGCCCAGGAGATGGAAGTTTGCAACGAAAAACTTCTTCTCTATAGCTGCTGAAAATAGCATCAATCTAGAAATATAAATAAAAAATAGATTTATACAGATTAAAAAAACAAAGTAACATTTATTTATAATAAAAAATATAATTTAAACTTCAGTATCAACCATATATTTACTCTGAGACAACTTTTGGAAAAACAAAAGACAAAGAAAAAGGCTACACTTAATCTCTAAATACGTAGAAAAAGCACACGATAGTGTACCATGCAAATCCTTAAGAAAGGCTGGCATGGATAATTAAATTCTGAGCCTAATTAAAGAAATTTACAGAAAGAATAGGTGCTAGATAAAAATATGTCCATTATTATTATTATTAAAGGAATTCCAAAATGGAAAAAAGGCTATAAATATGGATGGAAATCCAGGTTCTGATACAGGAACGTGAGAAGATCCTCTGGATCCGGGAAAGGAAGGTCCACTGGGTCTTTCAAAACAACAATAGGACTCGGGCAGGGGTGTGTTTTGTTGCCATTATTGTTTTTATTATTTATAAATGACCTTCCAGAATTCCTAGGTGGGGGTATTATTGTATGTGGTGTTAAAATAAATTGCCTGCTTTATGCGGATGATGTCTTAATTGTTGATGATTCATACACATTACAAATGATAAATAGGTAAGAAAAGTATTGAAATATGTGGAATCTCGAAGTGAATCTCAAAAAATAATGATTCATAAAAAAGATGAGAAACTGGCCAGAAATGATAAGTGGTATTTAAGGGAAAAAGAAATTGAAATTTATAAGTGCTTAGGTATAGGCTTAACCTCTCAATTATCGTTAAATAAATATTTTAATGAAAAAATATTGGTAGTAAAATTTGGAGTTAATACTATTTGGAACCGCCTTATAAGGAACCAGAATATCTATAAATGCCAAATTTAAATTATTTTAATTGGTAACAAGAGCTATAGTTTGTTATGGATTGGAATTATGACATTATGACGAAATACGGGAGATCGACGCTTTTAACAATTTGTTTTGCAAAGAAACTGTTCTTACTACCGAAGAACTGTCCAGATTACATATTATATCAAGAAACACAGTTAAAACCACACAGTTTATTCAGTCATACACTATCTTTACACTTGAACTACAATAGTAAGTTCATAAAAATGCCAATATTGCAACTAGCAAAAATTTTGGCCAATGGTATGATTAACAAGAAATTACCATAGGCACAGAAGCTAATCTCTTGGGGCCACATACTAAATGCAGATGTAGTTAATGAATTTAGTTCAAAAAACAGTAATTTATTTATTGATTGATTAACTAGAGATATGAAAAAGGAGTAGGATATTGGTATTGGTAATAAGTGGAATTACTTCAATTAAATCACAGAATAGATAGAATCGGCAGCCATATTTGTTCTCTTTGCAACTTAAACCAAATAGAAAATATTTATCACTTCATTGCAGTATGCCCAGTTCTGAGGGAATTTCGATTAAAATACTTCAGAAAGAATACTTTAACTTAAATGAGTTCCTCGATATGATAAATGAAGAGGATCTGAATGCAATCTACATGTTTACAAACATATCACTAAGGTATAGAGCATCCCTGATAAAAGAATTTAATTATTGAACATTATTATGGTAATCTGTAAAATATATGGACATGATATGTGTATGTGTGTGTGTGTGTGTGTGTGTGTGTGTGTGTGTGTGTGTGTGTGTGTGTGTGTGTGTGTATATATATATATATTGATTGCAATGTAAATATTACATAGTGATTTTAAAAATTGGCACAAAGGCATTGACGTCAAAAACTACAGTTAAAAATGGACAAAGACAGATGGAAGAGGAAGCAAGAACCAAATGTTAGGGAGAAGGTAGCCAGTCGGCTAGTAAAGAGGATTGAGAGAAGAAAATGTGACAAACAAGTAGTGGGTGTCAATAGAAAATAGTAAAAATAGTAGTGAGAGAAGTTGAATTGTATTGAATTGAATTGTAGAAGTTGTATTGTATTGAATTGAATTGTAGAAGTTGTATTGTATTGAATTGAATTGAATTGTAGAAGTTGAATACAACAATACAGAGGAGGATTCACTGCAGAACAAAGTGAGTGAAATATAAATAGTGACAGTTCGAAAGCATGCCAAGAGTAGACCCAGACAAAAAGAATGGAAATTCATAGATATGTTATATACAATTAATGTGTGCTTTTACACTATATATTTGAGGAATGTTTGTTTGTTGTCTCAACCCAACCTGAGACATAATTATTGTGTAAAATAAATATGATTTGATTCAGAAACTGTTTTGTTTAGTTTTCAAAGGAAACTTAACCTAACAATACATATATGTGTGCATGAAAGCGTATGCACTCGCGTGTGTGACTATGATTAATTATTCATTAAAGCAGCTGCAGTTGACTCCAACCCTCTATTTTACAGATGGGAAAAAAGTGCTCTGAGATAAAGTACAAATTACAGTGTATTCTACTGAAATACTCACATAGTCTAAGTACTGAGTACTTTCATCACTACTCCTCTTGATGATTGATGAGTGCAAAAAGCTCTGCTCCTGAGTTCTTTCCATTTTGACATTTACTCAGAGTATTTCATTCGGCAAGAGTAAAGGAGTTGAATATTTTAAATTTCTTCAATATTTATGTCCATTCTTATGTTGTCAGGAATGTAGCTTTTAAAAATACTATCGATTTTAATGTAAATCGATTAGGTATCGATTTATTTTAACTTTTCAGATTAATTCCATATCAAGGTGTATTACTAAGTTTTCGGGGTGTACTTTTTAAAAATACTAAAGATTTTAATGTAAATCGATTAGGTATCAATCAGTTTATTTATTTTGGTAAATTTTTATATTTCTTCTTTCTAAGAATCCACTATTATGCTTTCAGGAGAGGGGAGGGGCCACTTTATAAGTTTTTTTATAAACAGTGCAACGGAAAACTTAATAATTGACTCTTACATCAAAGATATCGGATAATTTACAAAAACTTGATAAATCGATAGAGAATTACATAATTTTAATGATAAATATTTATAATAAGCATCATCAATAAGAATGGACCCTCATATATATCAGATAACTTTAGAAATTTAGACAAGATGATGCGCAAATGTACAATCTTAAATCCAACCGTTTTTCATCCGTCTCTGACAATATTAAAATAGACCCTCAAATTGAAGAAATCCGAAAAGTTTAAATAAATTGATATTTAATCGATTTAAAATAAGATTAAATAAATTATTTTAAAATATCTAATTGATGATACCTATACCAATAAAATATGTCAACTCCAATATTAATTCGAAATGGGTTCATTAATATTAATCTTAAGAGTATATTTATTTTTTTGGAATGGATACCATTAATTAGTTTTTATCTGTCTGTCTATAATTATATAAATAAACAAAGTGATTGATATTAATTTATATTGCATTGCATTGTAAACCTTTAATCATTAATATTGAAGAAATTTAAAATATTCAACTCCTTTACTCTTGCCGAATGAAATACTCTGAGTAAATGTCAAAATGGAAAGAACTCAGGAGCAGAGCTTTTTGCACTCATCAATCATCAAGAGGAGTAGTGATGAAAGTACTCAGTACTTAGACTATGTGAGTATTTGAGTAGAATACACTGTAATTTGTACTTTATCTCAGAGTACTTTTTTCCCATCTGTAAAATAGAGGGTTGGAGTCAACTGCAGCTGCTTTAATGAATAATTAACTTTTATTAATAGTAATAGACTTGTTCTGAAGATTTTTTTATACTATTTTATAAACATTATAAATGAAATATGTTTTTTAGTTATGTTTTGCATATAAATTGACTCAATTGAGACATTATCAACTATCGAATGAGCCATTCATTGTTGTGTAGAGACTTCTTGTAGGTAGTTTTTTATTGGTAATTCTTCTCCATGTGTTAATAATTTGATCCCAAATCACTTCAGTTATAATGCAAAGGTTTTCCTCTTAAATCTTTCAATACTTCTTTCCAGGGTGCTGGAAAGTGTCCTGGTCTCGCAGCTATATATGAGAACTAGCTTTACCATAGTACTCTACACCATTAATTTAAGATTTCTAGTGATGTTTTGGGATTTAAATACTTTTGAAAGCGAGAAGAAAGCTCTGTATGTACTTGTAATAGGCTAGTCTGTTTCTGACCTTTGGTCATTTAAATATATTATGTATAAACCATGGGTAGAGTTACAGGAGGGCTGGAGAGGGAGATAGGTGCAGTAATCTCCTCCACTCCTTGCAGAATGATCAAGCTATGGTGTCCTACCCATCGCTTGTGACTTCCCAGTCCTCCCTATTCCTATCAATGACTACTGTCAAGTTGTGGTGTCCCCAGGAGAATCCGATGGGGCTTGCGGATGACAGAGGCGGGGATCAACACTTCTGCTTTCTTGGCAGTTGTGTAGATCCTTCTACGATACCCAAGTTAGGTGGAGGGACCCACTTGGGGGCACCTGGCACACCCTATTGTATATAATGCCTTCTGCAGGGAGAGGGGGTAGAACCTGTAGTGACCTTTTTCCACTCCCACACTCGTGAGTACAAAATGCAGTCGCCAAAAAAATCAAACTACTAACTGACAACACTAGCAATGACTCGGCTTTAGATATGGAACTATCAGAGAAGAAGGTGGTGGGGAGATACTCGGAGTGATCATCGATTAACCCACTTGAGGACAGTTCTAGAAGCTCGACTGAGACTATCTCAGTCAAAGTTTCTAAGCTCTTCATAATAACACAGGAAGCTAAGGGTCTGACCTATTGAAAGAGGTCTCACCTATTCTGAGGAGGATACTCTGGAGTGTATTCATTTTCCTGGCTGCCTAATGGTGGATGAGTATACAGCTAATATCGCTATGGACAGTCACACTTGTGGCAAAAATAAGTAGATTAAGGCCAATAGAATTGTAAGTTCTAGGAGATTTGAATGGGAAATTTTGGGCTCTTTTGCACAATTCAAATCAGCTGGTATTGATGGGATTTTCCTGGCCCTTTTGCAAAAAAGCTTACCTGTGATTAAGCCCTACTTTCTAGAATTATTTAGGAGTAATTTAGCATTTGTATATATCTCCAATAAGTGAAGGAAGGCAAGAGTTTGCTATATACCTAAGCCTGAGAGTCTTAAGACAATCCCAAAGCATACAGACCTATACGCCTGAATTCCTGTTAAAAGTACTGGAAATGAGTATGGATAGACACATTAGGGATTCTAGATTAGTAGAAAGACTGCTACACTGTGCTAAATTTGCTTATCAAGCCGCCAAATCTTGTGAGACAGCGTTGCATCATTTGGTCTCTAAAATCGAGAAAAGTTTATCGCAGAGATTATGGTGGGCATCTTTGTCGACATTGAAGGTGCATTTGATCATACTTACTATGATATAATGGCTACGGCATTGGCTAGGAGAAGGGTTGGACTCTTGGTTTCGGAATGGATTAATTCGGTTCTGAGGAGAAGAATCATTAAATCTGAGTTAGAACAATCCGAACTGTGGGTTAAACCTGTTGGATGATGTCCACAGGGAGGTGTGTAGTTTTCACCTTTGTGGTACTTGGTCGTTAACTTCCTGATTGCCAAAATGAATGAGGTGGAGTTTTATTCCCAGGGTTGAGCTGATATCGTTGTATTGATAGGGAGCAAATTTTCAGACACAATCTCTGGACTGCTCGCAAATACGATGAAACTTTTAAAAGAATGGTGCCAGGACAATGAGTTTGGCATAAATCCCTATATGATTAATCTTTGTATCTTCACTAACAGAAGGAATGTCAACATTAGACCACCATCATTAAATGGGTCATCATTAATTATCTGTAGTGAAGTAAAATATCTTGGGATTACTCTAGATAATAAGTTGATATTGCTGACCAGATAGGCTGTCTATGGGCGTGCAGAACAGTTGTTGGGCCTGAAACCCAGTATGGTCCTATGGCTTAAACGTAGATGTGACCATGGTGTGGTAGCATAGGGCTGCTGCAAGCAAGCCTAGAGTGCTGCTTGAGAAACTTCAAAGGCTTGTGTGCCTTAGGACTACTGGAGCTATGAGCACTACTCCCACTGCTGCAATGGAGGTTCTCTTGAGCCTGACACCATTGCATATAGAGGTGGAAGCACATGCTCTTAGAACTGCCTATAGAACGGATAATTGTGGATAGACAGTTGACTGTAGTGAATAATTGAAGAAACCATTGGTTGGGGTGTTCCGTCAAAAAAAAAAAAAAAAAAAGTGTAAAAATAAATAAATTATATTTATTTTTATTTTTTCTGACGTTTAGGCCCAAAGTTCAGGCTTTCATCAGGGCTAAGAAAAAAATATAGATAACAAGAGGGTATGAGGAACTATTAACATTATAAAGAAAATAATAATATGTAGGCGAAGGTATAGTCTAAAAAATGTAGGTAGAATAAACTTAAAGGAAATATAAAATAATGACAACAAAGTTAGGGATAGAAAGTAACGGAAGCAAAGTTAGGATACATAACATAACAGTAATAAATTTAGAAGTGAATAAAATAATAACAGTAACAGAGGACTATGAAATAAATAATAACGGTAACAAAGTAGGGACTAATGAAATAAACATAATGAAATAAGGTAACATAAGAAATGAAAAATGTGAGTGTAGACATATAATAAATATAATTTCTTTATTTTTATATATTTTTTTCTGAACACCCCAATCAATTCTCTCTTCAATTATAGAATGGATAAATTAGGAACGAGATCGAAATTCCTGATATTTCAGGGACATGGGATCGTTTTTGATAGGATTGATAGCTATGAGGTGCTCGCGATGAATTCAGACCTTTAAATTGATAAATATGCAGACATACTCTATAGTTCGATGATAGGCAGGAATAACTCTCACAGACCATGTAAGGAGTTAAATGTTATACTGACAGATCCTTGATGCAGCAAGGATCGGGGACTGGCGTCTGGAGAAAGGATAGGATCTGGAGATGAGGAAATTTTCATATCTATAGGTAGACATATGTCCATCTTCCAGGCTGAGATTCTAGCAATCAATTTCTGTGCTCAAACAATAATAAGGGAGGCCATTAGGAATAGATTGATTACAATATATACAGATATTCAAGCAACAATTCGTGCCCTGAATAGTTATGCAACCCGATCCAAGTTGGTAGATGAGTACAAAGGCAATCCGAACTTTCTCTGTAGTACCAACAAGGTAAGGGTTGAATGGGTGCCTCAGCACTCAAGCATTCTAGGTAATGAGAAAGGCAATTGCCTTGTTAGGAAGGGTTCTGCACAAGTGCCGGTAGCAGCAGAACCTATCTGTGGGATTAGCCTCAGCTGTGCCAAAAGGCATATTAAGGCAGTTGATGGTAATAAATCTGGGCTATATTGGGAACTGACTTGTAAACAAACACTTTCAGTTGCTCCTCATAGGACCCTGTCACAAGAGAAGTGTATCACTTCTTCTAATGGACAGAAGCACCAAGAGGTGTGTGACAGGTCTGTATACTGGTCACTGAGGACTCAAGAAGTATCTTTTTAACTTAAGCTTAGGTGAGACTCCCACCTGCAGGCTGTGTGGCTTGGAGGATGAAACAGCCAGTCACATTATTTGCAGATGTGGTAATTTGGCTAGACTGCAATATTTTCACTTTGGATGCGATCGTATTAATGACCCAAAGTGTTTTGAACTAATAGATCCCATTAGTATTAATTAACAAGTTCACAAAGGCATCTGGCCTGTTTTAATAGTTTTAGAACGATGCACAATAGGCCTCTATGAGACCAGAGTGCATCCTTAAGTCGGAGGGGGGATAGGAAATGAATTAAAACAGATCACAAGATATTGTCTATTGAATAGCAATCAAAGTTAACAAAATAAGAATTTGAACTATTTTAATTAAAAAAATATATCAACACCTGTCTAAATAAAATGTCCATTTGTGAATATTACAATGTACAATATTATAAACTAACAAAAGATTTTAAAATATAACATTAAAGAACTAATAATACCTCCTGAGGAAGAGAGTCACCAATAGAAGTGGCTAAAAAGAATATAGATAATGAAGTATCAATAGTAGACAGTAGGTTGAGAAACACAGCACGAGATGATCTACTTAATGACGCCCACCAATAACCAATTTCACCAAACCAGAGTACACAATCACGATTGTGGGGCAATTCCTTGAATATCTGTAACAAATAAAGCAAAAGTTGAAAAACATAACTAAAATAAAAATGTTTGATAGCCAAGACTAAAAATACATAACCATAAGAAAAATTAACACTTACAGTGCTACTAAATTTCAGCGATCATTTATTTGAGGCCTAAAATGCTACACCTTTAGGTTCATTTTTACTGATTTGTTGAGTAATAATATAAACCAAATTAAAACTTCAGAGAATAAATTTCAATATCTGTTTTCAGAAGTCCAGAGAAACACATCAAAAAACCATCCTCATATTATAAGAAAAATCATTTTACATTTAATCACATATTCCTTCACTAGCAAAATATTTTTAAATTATTGGAATAGTTTAAGATAAATTACTTCCCCACATTTTATTGTTTGTTTCATCATATTATTACTATACCATTGTAAAACAATGAAAAAAAAAATCTGCTGGGAACCAAATATGAATGAATGAATGAATAAATATTTCATTTGTTTTTGAGGAATGCCCCATACAAATAGAGTTGTCACAATATTGAACAATGATCATAAAAAGTTTATAGAATTTTTTTTACAAGTTATGTAAAATAATTAATTGTGTTACAATGACAACATCCTTTCCTGCCTGCATTCCTAAGTATAAACAATGAACTTTAATACAAAACTCCATATAATACAATATACACTATAATAATAATAAAACATAGTAAGTAATAAAAAAACAAATAATAATAGAAATAGAAAATCATCTATATTCTGGGACTAGGTCCCTTAAGAATAACAATATTGTTCATATAAATTTAACAATAAATCTGGCCGAAAGATCTATTATAATAAAGAATAACTAAAATACAAAAAACAAAATAAGTATATACATAGCTCTTGGGATATATTAACGAAAACAGTTGGTTAATAGGGTTTGCAATACTACAATATTGGAGCTAAACCAATAACACAATAATCACTAAATGAAATTAAAAAAGAACGCTAAATAAATTTTATAGGCAAAGCATTGTAGTGATGGAATATAAAATTTAAAAAACAATAACTGCTGTAAATAAATGATTTATATATGTTCCTTAAGATGTTTAAGTGAATACGCATTAAGATTAGGAGAAGAAAAAAATAAAATAATATAGACATATATATATATATATATATATATATATATATATATATATATATATATATATATATACACACAAACATAGAAAGGAGTATGTCAAAGATAAGTAAAAAATAAAATACATTTCAAAGAAATATAATCTCATGAATAGGAAAAGTAGGAGTTATGAAAAACAAATTATACCAACTCACAATGCTTTGTGAGTGGTGATGGAAATTCATGTTTAACACAGAATAAAGAATAAGAGAAAAAAATAATGTATACAGAAAATTAAAACCTTATTACCTAATAAATATTTAGCCAGCGTCTAATTGAATTGTGAAGAGGAATTGGAATAAGAGGGTTTTAAATGAGGATAAGGATGATGTACGCCAGATTTTTAGTGGGATGGAATTCCAGAATGCAAAGGAACAAACAACAAAGGAACGTTTAAATGAGGCAGATCTGTGAAAAGAGGTGTAAAGGCCAGGAGGACAAGATCTTGTGGAGAAGGTGTGGATAGATGACTTGAATTGTAGGAGATTATATCTGTAAGACAGAGATGGGCATATTTATATTGAAAAATATAAATACGAATACCATTTATATTTATGGTACAAATGAATATAAATACGAATATATTTGTATTCATAAAATGTAATATGAATACAGAAGTTACGTATTCACGACTGTAAATATAAATACGGCCGTATTCACGACTGTAAAAGTGAATACGGCTGTATTTACACCTGTAAAAGTGAATACGGCAGTATTCACGTTTACTAAAATGAATACGCTTAAATTTACAGAAGTGAATGGAAATATTTTCACAAAATCTTATTAATGAATACTCTTATTTATTAAAAAAAATGTATTTATTAAAAAAAAAAGATTTGCTATATATATCATTTTATTTTTATAAATAGTACTATTATTCTCCCTTTTACAATATGTTTTGTTAATTATGTTGCAATGTATTATGTTATGTTAATTATCACATATTCACGACTGTAAATATAAATATGGCCGTATTCACGATTGTAAAAGTGAATAGGGCTGTATTTACACCTGTAAAAAAAGTGAATACGGCAGTATTCACATTTACTAAAATGAATAGCCTTAAATTTACAGAGGTGAATGGAAATATTTCCACACAACTTTATTAATGAATACTCTTATTTATTTAAAAAAATGTATTTATTTTAAAAATATATTTACTATATATATCATTTTATTTGTATATATAGTATTATATTCTTCCTTTTACAATATGTTTTGTTAATTATGTTGCAATGTATTATGTTATGTTAATTATCACATATTCACGACTGTAAATATAAATATGGCCGTATTCACGATTGTAAAAGTGAATACGGCTGTATTTACACCTGTAAAAGTGAATACGGCAGTATTCACGTTTACTAAAATGAATAGCCTTGAATTTACAGAGGTGAATGGAAATATTTCCACACAACTTTATTAATGAATACTCTTATTTATTTTTAAAAAATGTGTTTATTTTAAATTATTTATTTTAAAAATATATTTACTATATATATCATTTTATTTGTATATATAGTATTATATTCTACCTTATACAATATCTTATGTTAATTATCATTCTTAATGTTTGTACGTAATATAAATTGCCAAGCCTTTGTATTTATAGCAAAAGTGAATACGGCAGTATACACGTTTATGAAAATGAATATGCTTAAATTTATAGAAGTGAATGCAGATATTTTTACAAAATCTCATTTATCAAAAAAATATATTCATTAAATTATTTATATTAAAAAAATATATATTACTATATATTCCATTTTATTTTTATTTATAGTATTATATTCTTCGTTTTACAATATATTATGTTAGTTATCACTCGGAATGTTTGTACGTAATATAAATTCACAAGCATTTTTTTTTTATTGGGTCCAGAGGGTGGGGTCTCTCCCGTACCAGAATGGAAAGCCTACGTTTATGATCCTAGACGTACAGACTTTTCGGTGCACTGTTTACTTATGGGCCGCTAATGGTAATAAAGATAAGTTTAATAGACGGCCAGGGTAGGTACAACACTCGGAACGATACCCTGGAAATCCCATCGGGAAATACGTATACACAACAGAGTTGAAGCAAGGAAAGGGGCAAGAGCTGTCAAATTTGAATAGTGACCTTTCCGGACCTGCCGTTCAGTGTGTAATGTGTGAATATATTTGTTAATGTGTTAAGTTTTGCATATAAAACAATGTATGAAGTTGATAGGGAAACTGAGTCTGTTTGTTTAGCAGTCTCTTGTAATCTGGATTATAGGGATTTTTTTTTGCAATTTTTTTTCACGAGAGTACCTGCTCTTTAAGAAATTCCAATATTCTCACCTACTCCGAATTTTTATTGGGGAGAAGGAGAGAGGCGATGCTATATATAAAAATAAATTGGTTTATATAGAAATTATTTTAAAATAAATAATTTAATAAATACATTTTTTTTATAAATAAGAGTATTCATTAATAAGATTGTGTGAAAATATTTGCATTCACTTCCGTAAATTTAAACGTATTCATTTTAATAAACGTTAATAATGCCGTATTCACTTTTAATAGTGTAAATACAAAGGCTCAGGAATTTATAATACGTACAAACATTACAAGTGATAATTAACATAACATAATACCTTGTAACATAATTAAAATAACATATTGTAAAAGGATGAATATAATACTATATATAAAATAAAATGATATATATAGTAAATATATTTTTTTAAATAAATAATTTAATAAATACATTTTTTTTAATAAATAAGATTATTCATTAATAAGGTTGTGTGAAAATATTTGCATTCACTTCTGTAAATTTAAGCGTATTCATTTTAATAAACATGAATACTGCCGTATTCACTTTTACTAGTATAAATACAAAGGCTCAAGAATTTATTTTATGTACAAACATTACAAAGGATAATTAATATAATATAATACATTGTAACATAATAAACATAACATATTGTAAAATGAAGAATATAATACTATATATAAAAATAAAATGATATATATATTAAATATATTTTTTTAAATAAATAAGTGTATTCACTAATAAGGTTGCACGAAAATATTTCCATTCACCTCTGTAAATTTAAGGCTATTCATTTTAGTAAATGTGAATACTGCCGTATTCACTTTTTTTGCAGGTGTAAATACAGCCCTATTCACTTTTACAATTGTGAATATGGCCATATTTATATTTACAGTCGTGAATATGTGATAATTAACATAACATAATACATTGCAACATAATTAACAAAACATATTGTAAAAGGGAGAATAATAGTACTATTTATAAAAATAAAATGATATATATAGCAAATCTTCTTTTTTTTAATAAATAAGAGTATTCATTAATAAGATTTTGTGAAAATATTTCCATTCACTTCTGTAAATTTAAGCGTATTCATTGTAAACGTGAATACTGCCGCATTCACTTTCACAGGTGTAAATACAGCCGTATTCACTTTTACAGTCGTAAATACGGCCGTATTTATATTTACAGTCGTGAATACGTATCTTCTGTATTCATATTACTTTTTATGAATACAAATATATTCGTATTTATATTCATTTGTACCATAAATATAAATGGTATTCGTATTTATATTTTTCAATATAAATATGCCCATCTCTGCTGTAAGATGGATGATGATTATTGATTATTGGGTAAAGGAATGTACCCAGGAAATATTGTCTTCAGAAAGAGGGTGCGAAACAACTGAACGTCTCAGGTTCTTGGTGAAAAATCTTACGAAGGCATTCATAATTTTTTTCAGTCTGTTCCCGAGTTCTGCCGAGAGGCCACCGTACACCACACAGCCGTAATTAAGGTGAGGGAAGATACTAGGAGCCTACGTGTGGACATGG